TTCTATGACCTGCTTCAGGGAAAAGGGGGGCCAGCTAAAAGAGAGCCTTTCCTGCACCTGCCTAAGTTTCTCAAATTCCTTCAGCTTAAAATATTTGATATGCCAAGGTGCCATATTTCGGGGTAGCATGTTCTAAACCCTGTCAGCATAACAGTGAATTCTCATTATTTGCAGTAGCTATGTGCAAATAATACCGTGAATTTGAGATTATTGAATACTGAACCATAGCTTCTAGGGGATATATAGGGTTAGATTCCTGGGAGACTTTGGCCACATTTTCCTCAACTGATAATACATAATCTTGTTTTATGTGTGTTTCCATTTAAAAACATCTTATTTCATGTATTTTGTTGATTTATTAACATTGAACTCACAGCCAATAGTACGATGTCTGAACAAAGCTTACTAACAAATGTATTTTCTCTGTAAGGCGTATCACAACTTTCATGTTTTCTTTTTTTTTTAATTACAGTTGACATTCAATATTACCTTAGTTTCAGCTGTACAGAGTAGTGGTTAGACATTGATATAACTTAAAAAGTGTTCCCCCCAATAAGTTTAGTTCTCCCTGATGCCATACACAGTTATTGCAATATTATTGACTATATTCTCTATTCTGTACTTTGCATCCCCGTGACTATTTTGTAACTGCCACTTACATCACAACTTTCTTATATTTAGGAACACTAGAAAGCACTTCAGCACTATCCATTTTTGACAATAAAATCAGAAAAAACACACACACAAAATGCAAAACATATGGTGCTAAATAGAACACAAATGGGACACTTGTTTAAAATGTGAGAGCTGAAACAAGAAGACAGAGCATCGTCTTGTTCAGCCTCTGCTGGGAACACATATGTAGGGAGACTCACATTTTTCATCACTCCACACTTGTCTGCAAATTACTGCAAAAACACTGTATTGAATTGATTATGCAATTGAGGGTTACCAATAAATTTTAGTAAATAGGCAAATTCAAATTTATGAAGTCCTTGAATAATAGGGATTGACCATATACACAGGGACAATCTCCATCCTACTCCTTTTCCCTCTAGGCTCAGATCCCTCTTCCTTAGAAGTAATCACTATTATTAGTTTCTTGTCTATTTTCCTAGACTTTATTATACATATATAGGCAACTTAAACATGCACATGTTACTTTTTATCATTAATTTTGAAGGGGTCCAGAATATGCCACAGTAGCAAACAGATTATTTTGAACTAAAGACATTTGAAAATCAGTATCAGCAGAAAGCAGCTTTTTCTCAGCTCTCCTTACTTTCTCAGAAGCCGTTTCTCCCAGAAGAATTCACTGTCATGAAGCACCCCCCACGGAGTTTCACAACAAGGAAAGATTGACTTTCATCACCAAAGATGAGAAGTCAGCACAAGTCATCACCTGGCTAGGAAAACATCTAAGCATTGTCATAAAACTGTCATATATTCCATTTATTCTCCTAAGGACCTATTTATTTTTCCTAAAAGTCATTTGTCCTCCCTTAAGTGCCCCTCTGCGCCCTCCTATCCCCTATTAAGATGGCACATAAACTCCAAATTCTACCCACATCCTTGAGTCATATTTCTTTCTGAACTTCTATGCATATGTTCACAATAAAATGTTTTTACTCTGGTTAATCTGTGTGTTAGTTTAATTTGCAGATCCCCAGGTACTAAACCTAAGAGGATAACATTTTTCCTCTCCAACAATTTCAAAAAGCAAATGACAAATTGTATAAAAATTGATCTACAGTATATAGGTATGTGCATCTTAGCAGTGCTGGTGTGACACAGCTAAGAATTTCTCAATTTCTAACAACCAAAAATGTTATATTCTCCACGATACCTAGTAGCTATTAAACAATTCAGGGACACATACAAAATGGTATTATCATTAACACTGTAAATGAAGGTTGTTTATAGTTTTTTTAATGGTCATTGTTATAAATTCTTTTTATTTAATTTACTTATTTTTAGAGAGAGGGAAAAGGAGAGAGAGAAACATCAATGTGTGGTTGCCTATCATGCACCCCCTACCAGGGGTAGGGGGACCTGGCCTGCAACCGAGGCATATGCACTGACTGGGAATTGAACTGGTGACCCTTTGGTTCGCAGGCCCACGCTCAACCCACTGAGCTACACCAGCCAGGGCTGTTTTATGTTTTTGGTTTTTTTTTTAAGCAGTAAAGCTTAAATTCCTGTTCTCTTAACCAATATTTTTAACATCAGTCATATTTTTGAATCAATGATCTTTTTAGGTGTGTTTTTAGTATTTACTTTCAGATTTTTAATATACTTGTATTGCTACTTTTTGACTTATCAATTTTTAATTTTATATGTGTACTACTATTATGGTAGCTGATGTTTAAGATTTCTTTCACCAGCAGCACCCTTTTCTCCACTCTCATCCTCAGCATATAGTCAGTGACATAGTTGGTTAACCCAATAGCTAGTGATTGCATTGAAGAAGTTCAGAACACCCTACCCCAAAATATGCTGCCCTGGCATCTTGACTATTTTGAGCTAAAGGTGTTGCAAGGACATTCTGATTTCCTTCTTTAAAAAAAAAAAAGATGAAATTTCCATGTGAAAGATGTCCTCCAATACCAGAAAGAGACATTCTTATCACCAAGGACATGAAGTCAAGCCCAGATAAATCTGTACAAATTGTTTAATTTTTATCTTAGTATTCAATTCTGTATTTTTTAGCAACCCCACCAAAGCCCTTTTTGCCTAGTTACACTTTAACAATTTACTACTCTTTGTCCAAGCATTCCACTCTGCTTCTTTGGATCTTCATTTTTCTTATGAAGACTCCTAAATACATGTAAATATGTATTTGTATTATATATATTTATATATATACACATATATACTTAATATATTTAACATATATACTTAATATATATTTAATACACACATATTACATGAATATTATATATAATATACACACACATACATGTGTATATATGAACTTATATGCATTTTTCTGTTATTCTGTCTCCGTCAGTTAAAGTTGCAGGCGAAGACTCTAAGAAGATAGAGTAGAAATTATCCCTCCCCTATGGCATTATTCTGATTCTATGATTCACAAATGGGCTATTTACTTTTTCATATTTTTTTGTTATTAATGATTCAAAATGAATTTACCGTGAAGCACCATACCATAAACTTAATATGCCGTTCCCCTTCTGCCAACACTGAAATTAGCTGTAATTGGGGCAAATGAATTTTACTTGAATCTGTTTTCTCATCTCTAACAGAAGGGTAATATTTGTGTCTTCCTGACAAGGTGCTTGCAAGAAACAGGGTGAGAGTAAGATAGAATATGATAGTGAGTGTGAAAGCCCTTTATAAACTTTAAGTGTAAAAGAAATATAAAGCAAAATAATTAGTAGGCTAGGGGATTTTCACCATTTTTGATTCTGAAAACAGGGTTCTAGTCTTCATTCCTCTCCTAATTGACTCTGGAGGAATTTTTTCCACATATGGGGTGACTCTCCTAACTGGTAATATAGATATATTAAAGATTACAAATAAGTACAATATGTTCGCACTTACACGATTTATTTGGATATAAATCTGTAAACGAAGAATCTTGTACTTCTAGACTATCTCCAATTACCTATCAGCTCTGATTTTTTTTATTTTGTTTCTAAATGAGACATTAATTACATGCACAGCTTTCTGCTGCACCCATAGATACAGCACAGTAGAAATATTTAGGTAGGAGACTGCTAGAGCAACTGGTTTCCTGAAGACACATTAGACTCTAAGGTGGTAATACACTATGTGATAGATCCAATAACAAAATCGAAGTTAGAAAACAATCTGAAATTAATATGATTAATAGAATGCCAGTGGAGAACACTTTGGGCACTGCAGGAAATCTATGCATATCAGCAAAGTTTTGCACACGCAATTACTTAACCATCCTTGAGGCACAGAGTGTCTTTTCTAGTTGATAAGAAGAGCTCCACGTTCTTGGGGTTCCCAGAATGCCTTGCGCTGCTCTTGGCGGGAAACTGACCTCGACCCGAGGTCAACAGGCTATTGTCTCGCTTCCACGGGCAACCGTTGAAGGAAGGCGCATGCGCATCACGCTAAACGCGGGGCTTCGAGGTGCAGGTCTCGGTGGCTGGTGCCGGGCGTGGGGTGTTTTGTAATGTATATTTTTGTGTCTTTTTTTCTTTCTTAATTTTATTACTAATATTATTTGCTTTTAAATCTTTCTGTCACCTTCCGCCTATTTTTAAGTTTCTTAGATCCTTAATGGAAAAACATGGGAAAAATATATATCTAGTTAGAAGTTTTTGAAAGTAGGTTAACTCCGGGATCTCGTCCAGGCTTCGTCAGGATAAATTTAAATGTTTACAGTAATAACACTCTTCTGTGAACGCTGATGGTGTTAAATGGTCTGATTAAAAAAAAAATGAAATCGGCACGTAAAAAATGAAAACATCAAAATAACGAAGTTATAATTGAGAAAAAAGTCAGTAAAAAAAAAAACCTAGAATATTTTTGGTTTCCTTTTTATGGTTGTTCCATAGAGTAGGACAATATGTTATATTCAGAGCCGTGCTAAAGTTTGGTGGAGAAACTTACATCATTCTGTTATTTAGAAATGGCAAATTTAAAACAAAAATTAAAAGATCATTTTAAAGGGTTTGGCAGTTTTTCATTACCTAATACCTACCTGTACAATGTTGACAATGTGTAAATACTGTGAAGTGCAGAAAAATAAAAGATTATGCTTTTAAACAAGGGTCTTTTAAAAAGCTTTTAAATAGCCCACTTATGTGAGACTTTCTGGTCAAATGGCTTAAAAGTAACACCTCTGAAGAGTTGCAAAATGAATGTTTTTGAAGATTTCATTTTAATTAAAGGAATCCTCTAATTTAGTCACATTTAATTCTTTCTGCTTTTACATGTGATAAACTAGAATATTAGGGATAAGAATAAGGTCTGAAGTTAAGGCGCATTTGTATCACAAGGTTGAATTAAAGAAAATTCTTCATCAGAAGATGGCCACTGCACAGTTGCAGAGAACTTCCACGGTATGATGTCTTGTGTTTTAACATATTTTAATTTAGCTAATTTTACTGTTTCTAGAACTCTCAACTATTTTTGTATTTGAAAGTTAGCATCACTACTTGAGGGTTTAGTGATACCAGGAAACTCCACATTTTAAGAAATAAAAGTTTTTGCTAAACTTTTTTGAATTAACGGAAAATATATTGCATGTTTGATGCGTTCGTTGCCTACAGTGGCTGGTTTAAGTTCAGTTTACTTTGGCGTTTACTTTCAGCATTAATGAATGCTGTTCTGTTCTGTTGATGAAATTATCATTCATAGCAGTCCACCCCAAGATAAAATTGTTATCTTTGCACAAATTATGCATCCATTACACAGTGTTATCTATATATTATACATTTACAGACAGTTAACCTGAAGGGGATTTTTAACACACTGTTAGCAGTTTTTACGTTACCTTTAGGCTGCTACTCTGGAAACACATTCACATCTTAGAAGCCACACTGACTTCCTGGGGATTATTAACCACTATGGTTAGCAATTCTTGGGGAGAGTACTGTACTTTTGCAAAATTAGGTCTATTACAAGTTTAGGAAGACTTTATATTTGATAAATCTAAATGTTTTAATTTCCCTTGAATTTAGAGTGAGCTTGGATTTCCCAATAAGATAACAACTGAGCAGCAGTCTTTGCTGCTAGTGAAGAGGCTCCTAGCAATTTCAGTATCCTGCATCACATATTTGAGAGGAATATTTCCAGAACGTGCTTATGGAACAAGATATTTTGATGGTAATATAATGTTTATTTTAAAACTTTCTTTAAAAGAGCCCTGGCTGGTGTGGCTCAGTGGTCTCTAGTGAAAGGTCATGAGTTCAATTCCTGGTCCTGGCACATGCCTGGGTTGTGGGATCAATCCCCATTTGGGGTGTTCCAGAGGCAATTGATCAGTGTTTATTTCCCTCTCTTTCTCCTGCTCTTCCTGTCTCTCTAAAAGTAAATAAAATCTTTTAAAAAATAAAGTGATACTTTCTTTGAACATGTTACTTTATTTTGGTTTACTTTAAAACTATAAATTTTGAATTGGAGATTTTGTTTCTTTAATAACAGCTTTATTAAATTAAGTTGAGATATAATGCATACACCTGACAATTTACCCATTTAAATTGCACAATTCAGTGATTTTTAGAAATTCATAGAGGACTGCAACTGTCACCACTGTCAATTTTAGAACATTTTCATCACTCCAAAAGAAACTCCATACCCATTAACTTCGCTCAACCTGTCCACTCCTAAACTCCAACCAATCTGCTTTGTCTCTATGGATTTTTTGATTCTGGACATTTCATGTAAATGCAATTGTACAACATGTGGCCCTTTGTGCCTGGCTTATTTCACATAGTATAATGTTTTGAAGATTTATCCATGTTGTAGCATGAATTTGTACTTTATTTTTTTAATTGCTGAATGGTATTCCATTATATGGTCATATCAGTTTATCCATTTATTAGTTGATGAACATTTGAGTTGTTTCTACTTTCTAATTATTATAAATAATGTTGCATTTGTATATAAGTTTTTGTGTAGACATCTAAGTGGTTTTTATAAAATATATTCAGTACTTTTAAAAGCATTTAAACATAATTTTTCCCTCAGTTTCTCAAGTATAATTTCACCTGATGTTAAAGGAACTATTACAATGATGAAGTAAATAGATAAAAAATATTATATTGTTTAAAGCTTTGTACAGTGGTAGTGTATGTTCTTGTGTAAAAATAATACACCCAGTTCATACTACAGTAATAATTTATTGCCCAGCACATAATATATATGTAATATGGTGCCTAATGTTATGTACCAGTGGTGTGCTGGGTGATAAAGAAAGCACTATGTTATGTATGATATCTTTGTAATTCACCTTATAGAACTATGAGTTAGATTGTTATTCCTGCTTTTCAGATACAGAACCTGAGACTGAGAGGTCTCAGTCCTTTTCACTGTATTACATGTTGATTTTTGCAGGATTTTAATCAGTTAATTTTTTTGTCTTTTACAATTATTTTACTGAAATAAGGATCCATTGCAAATATCCTAAGACTCTTGGATAACAATGACATAAAAGTGTTATGTTTATAGATTTAAAAAATGATTTTCTACCTATCAACATGTACTCTAATCATTATGATGCCATTTGGTAATAAAGATAAAAAGCTTGTTTGTTTTCATATAACCTTTCTTTAATTAGATTATTACTAATCATCTAGAAATGCACTGATATTAATATACCAATAATACACAGCTGACAATCTTCATTTTAAATTTCTAGCTGTTTACTAATCTTTTAAAAAAGATTTTATTTATTCATTTTGGGGGGGGGAAGAGAAGGAGAGAAATAGTGTGTGGTTGCACTCAAGCACGCCGTACTGGGGACCTGGCCTGAAACCCCAGCTTGTGCCCTGACTGGGAATTGAACTGGCAACCCTTTCGTTTGCACTCAGTCCACTGAACTATGCCAGCCAGGGCTACTAATCTTAATTAGCTCTATATTTATATTATAATTTTTTTGTTTAGATCTCTGTGTCAAAATTCTGAGAGAAGATAAAAATTGTCCAGGATCTACACAGTTAGTAAGGTGGTAAGTAAAAGAATATCTAATAATAGAATATGATTTATTTTATTAACTCATAATATTTTCAGTGATTAACCCAATTTTAGTGATTCCCCTCCTTTAACTCTGGATATGATTTTTGCAGGGATTTAGAATTTTGCATTAAAATTTCCTTTATTTTATGCTCCATATGAGTGGACTTCATTTTCCTATTTGTTTCCCACACATACTAGCTGTCAAATATTTCATATCTTCCTTTCCATCCATATCAACATTTTATACTTCTGACACATTGTTTTATTTTATTATTTTAAGCTAGTTAATGAGAAGAGATCTTTAATAAGAAAATTTTATATCATTTATTCATATAATAATATGGAGATTTATTAAAAGAACTGTTTTCTGGAAATGCATTTAATCTAAAAATGAATCCTTGCTTATTTTTTAGGATGCTAGGATGCTATGATGCTTTACAGAAAAAATATGTAAGTCATTGTCTCTTGTGTCCTTTTTTTCCCACAACTTATTCCACAAATGTAACATCAATTACCAAATAGTAAAACATTAATTTAAACTGACTTGGGCATTGGCCAGTCCAAATTACTAAAAAGTCTGAACATTTGAATATTTTAAAGACTAATGTTCAACTCATTTAAAGCTGATGAATTAATACTTAAGATTTTGCTAAGACAGTTTTGTTCAATTGTTAATACTCATTTGTATTAATAACACATCTTCATTTACAAAAACTTAATGAATTAAAAGCCTTTAAATTGGTTATTCATTAGTTTTACATGCCTTCTATAATTTTATTTATACTAATAATAAAGTATTTCTTCATGAGCATTCAAAAATAAATTTCCATGTAGTCTAAATTATATTGTCACAAATTCTGAATTACTGTAATTTCAATTAATAAGGTTTTACTATAGACCATGAGCCTTTTTGTATACATAGCATATGTTTATATCAACACATATGCAGAAGAGAAATAAAGTTGTAAAGAAGATAAAATTTTATCCATGGTCATTAACCTCCCTCATTAAGACCTTAACTATTTAATGTTTATTAAATATTGAGTGCCTAACTATGGGCTAGGCACATATTCTAGGTAAGAGCTGGGTCAGCTAATAGTAGTGGTCAACATGATAGAGTTCCTTCTACAGGGGGAAAACAGTCAATAAAACAAGCAAGTCAGATAATTTCCAATGTGTTAAATCCCACTAAAATTTTTTAGAAAAATTATGTGACAGTGGAAAGATGGAATAACTTTAGATGGGGTGATCAGAGAAGCTATTTTGAGGAGGTGACATTTAACCTGAGACTTGAATGAGAATAAACCTGGCAGGCATTGATTTCGGGGAAAGAGTTCCTAGGAGAGTGGCAAATGCAGAGTTAGAAGGAAGTTTGGAGAGTTCACAGAATGAAAAGGCCGGTGTGATTGGAGAGTAATGAATAGAGTGAGAGAGTGGCATGAGATAAGCCTGGTGAAATAGGCTGGGCCAAAGCATTCATGCTGTGTAGTAAGAAGTTTGGATTTTCCTTAGGTGCAAATAAAAGTCATTTGAAGGTTTTGAGTAGAAATGGAACATTGCTTGATTTATATGTTAAAAATTACTTTGGCTGCTAAATAGAGAATATACTGTAGAAGAACAGATTGGAGTTAGTCGAGAGAATGGCACTCTATTACTAAAGTACTGATTAAAAGAAGGAAGGAAGGGAGGGAGGAAGAGAAGGGAAGTAAAAAACAGCTAATTTTTTCCATGTTAAAATGGTGAGCCAAGGGAGTTGAAGGGAGGAGAGATCATCATTGGGTTAGACTAATCTGGGGAGGAATAGAAGGGAATAAAACAACATGGCCTTTAAGAATGGGTAGGATTTTTAAAAAATGAGTGGGTAGGATTAACAGACATGGAGAGAAGAGAATACAGTCTGGATGAGGAAACCCGAGTAAGCAAATGTATCATGAACTTGGTGAGTTTGGGAGATAACTGAGTAACTAGAATGACTGTGAATAGATAGGTTGTGTTCTTGGAGAACAATGAGGATCAAATTGGCATATTAGATTCAGAGTATGGAAGATTTTTGAGTGCCAGAAAGATACATTTAGTCTTTTTTCTTTGAGTAAAAGAGAATCAGCCAAATAAAACCAGCAAAGCTCATTTCATTTTTGTGTCCAAATTAAGGACTTAGTGATATTTCTGCTCTATTATATTTCTGAATATATGTGGCATGCATATTATTTCTTATTTACATGGTTTGAGTTTGTGACATGTCAGAGAAAAACCCTAAATGTTAAACTTTTGTATCCTAAAGTCCCAAAGTTAAATGAACTTTTGCTGAAGATTTCCATAAGATTCTGTTAAGAACCCAGTGCTATAATTTTAAAACATTATATGTTTCAAAAGCAAGTAAGTAGAAGGTAATACCAAGAGATTAATATTTATAGGCCGAGGAAGGAATGAGAGTAGGACATATGGTCAAATTGCTTGTTGAGTATCACTGTCATCCCTTTCTTAAGATTCTTCTGAGGAGTAGCAGCCACAGACTGGTTTTAAAATATTAAGCTTCATTGTCTTGTAAAAATAATCAAGAAGTTTAAATATATGTTGAAGAATCTAACCTTTCAAGTAGACTTAAAATTAGATGTTATCTCAGTTTAATAACATTGACCTCAACCAAGAGAAATTAAATTTGAGCTCCAGTCTGACCAAAATAAAATAGATTTATTCCCTGTTGAAATCAAGATCCTGTTTGTTTTTATTGCCTATGGTAGGAATTTTGCTATGTATAGATTGACTCATGGATGATTAATGCTGTAATTAAATTGCTAGTATATTTAAAATTTCCCTCTTATGATAATCTTCATTATTAAATTACTTGTAGGGGGAATGAGGCTGTTAATGCTTTTGACTTGATGGTAATCTTTTTAGTTTGTAGGTAGCATTTTTAAACACTCTTTTCTTTCTTGAAAAGCCTTCTTGCAGAGCTGTTCCCCACCCCCCTGCCTCCCCTCTGGCTGTCAAGGATGAGAATAAGTCTACCAAGTTGTGATCTGCTTGGGGAGGAAAGGTAGCCAGTCTCTCAGAGGAGAAGGGCCTTGAGCCTGTTCCTCGATGGGCTTTCATTGGATTTTATTTGTGTAGGAATGCAGGGCTTATTCCTAACTAGATCATCAATCATTGTCAGGCAGTAGTGATCAAAGGACAGATAACATTCAAAGAACTATGGGGGCTTATTCTGAGTCAGGGTCAGATACCAAAGGGCCAGGAAACTTTGGAAAACAAACTCATTTTATGCTTGGACCCTTATCATTTAAACTGAGGGCATTCTTAGCAAAGCAGATTTCACAGGATTTTATGCATTCTCTCTCAGGCCTGATTGCCTAGGAAACCACCTGTTCCAGCACAGGGCCTCACTTGCCTCCAGCATTGTTTTAGGCTTAAGTCAGGTGGGGGAAGTAAGGCAGCCAAGACATTAGGAGACTTCTCACAGACAGAATGAGGACTCAGGCTATGACAAAGCTGAGGGGTGAGGGTCCATCACCCCTTTTGTATAGTCCCCTAAGTCCTTCCCTGATGGCCCCTTGGTGACCATGCCTGTCTTAGGTCATCCCTCCCTTGGGGAATCTTACCCATCTTGAGCTAACCAGTCATTCACCCAGGGCCAAGCAGGGTGAGGTAAAGGGGGCAGAGGCTGCACCCCTGCTGGGAGGATAAGCTTTGTGTCCCTAGTGGCTTATGGTCCCATGGTCTTTTTACTCAGCCTTAGCCATGGGGGTTACTGCTTCTGAAACCAGGCAGGGCAGTTCCCAACATATTAGCAAATCTTGAATGGAAGGGAAAGGGAAAAACTGGTGGCTTAGATCAGGATAGTAGAAGGGGAGAAAAAAAGATTCAGGATGTATTTGACAAGTAGAACTGATTGGATTTGTTGGTGGATTGATTCTGGAGTGTAAGAAAAGATCTAAATTAAGTATGACTCTTACATTTGAGCATGTTACTTGAGTGAATGATTTCCTGTGATTCTCTGTTTTTACAGTCTCCAAAGCCTCTTCCCTTTATAAAATGAGCTGGGCTCTGAACTCTACTTTTTCTCCTTTCAAAATCAGTTTTCATATTGAGAAGGTTTAAGATGTTGTTTCACAATATATATTTTCCTTGTAACTGGTGGTAATGCCCCTGTTTGCTTAAGCAAATAACATGAATTTCATCCTTCACTAAGTCAACTATAAGTAGATATTTTGGGAAATAGACAAGGCTATCTAAGGTATATATTACTTTATATGTATCATATGAAGTCTGTTTTCTGCAAGATTATTTCATATTAGGAATAAATGTTGAACTAGGACAGAATGCTTATGATTCATCATGAAAAAGTATTTTATACAATAAAAGTATGATTTTCTTTGTTGTATTTCAGCTAAGGATGGTTGTTCTAGCTGTAAGTATTTAAGTATTTTTAAATTGTATGTTTTTTAAAGACAGTAAAATTAGGCCTTGCATAATTAAATAATACTAAAACCATTAATGAATTATGTCACTTTATTCAAATAACTGATCTGTTCAGTGGAAAAAAGTAACAAATTAATAACTATGGGGAGGGATTGTTTTGTATTTTATTTTGCTGATTTCATATAATAGTTTAGTCTAAACAACTAATTTAGTTCTCCTTGAACACTTAGCCTTGTATAGCTCAGTTGTAAATTATTTTCAAATAGGTATACACCAACCCAGAAGACCCACAGGTAAGCATGTTTAAGTTAGTAAAGAAACATGATGCCTTGCCCTGACCCATTTGGCTCAGGTGGTTGGGCATTGTCCTACAAAGCAAAGGGTTGCTCGGTGTGAGAAGCAACTGATGTTGATGTTCCTCTCTTATATTGATGTTTCTCTCCCTTTTTTTCTTTATTTTTTAAATATATTTTATTGATTATTGCTATTACAATTGTCCCACTTTCCTCTATTTATTTCCCTCTGCCTGGCACACCCCGCCCATACACATCCCCCACCCCCACTTTAGTACATGTCAACAGGTCATACATGTAAGTTCTTGGCTTATACATTTTCTATACTATTCTTAACCTCCCCCTATCTGTTTTACCTACCATTTATGCTACATATTCCCTGTACCTTTCCCCCCATTCCCCATTCCCTTTCCCCACTGAAACCCTCTATGTGATCTCCATTTCTGTGATTCTGTTCCTGTTCTAATTGTTTGCTTAGTTTGTTTTTATTTTGTTTTTAGGCCTGGTTTTTGATAGTTCTGAGTTGTCATTTTACTGTTCACATTATTAATCTTCTTTTTCTTAGATAAGTCCCTTTAATATTTCATATAATAAGGGCTCAGTAATGATGAACTCCTTTAACTTGACCTTATCTGAGAAGCACTTTATCTGCCCTTCCATTCTAAATGAAAGCTTCGCTGGATGGATAGAGTAATCTTGGATGTAGGTCCTTGCCTTTCATGACTTCAAATACTTCTTTCTAGCCCCTTCTTGCATGTGAAGTTTCTTTTGACAAATTAGCTGACAGTCTGATGGGAACTCTTTTGTAGGTAAGTGTCTCTTTTTCTCTTGCTGCTTTTAGGATTCTCTCCTTATATTTAATCTTGGGTAACTTAATTATGATGTGCCTTGGTGTGTGTTCCTTTGGGTCCAACTTCTTTGGGACTCTCTGAGCTTCCTGGACTTCCTGGAAGTCTGTTTCCTTTGCCAGATTGGGGAAGTTCTACTTCATTGTTTGTTCAAATAATTTTTCAACTTCTTGCTCTTGTTCTTCTCCTTCTGGCACCCCTATGATTCTGATGTTGGAACATTTAAGCTTCTCCCAGAAACTTAAACATTCCTAAGCCTCTCCTCACTTTTTTGAATTATCGTTTCTTCATTCTGTTCTGATTGAATGTTTATTTCCTCCTTCTGGTCCAAACCGTTGATGTGCATCTGGTTTCCTTCTCATCACTGTTAGTTCCCTGTATATTTTCCTTTATTTCCTTTTGCATAGTCTTCACTTTTTCCTCTATTTTGCCACCATATGTAACCATTTCTCTGAGCATCCTGATTACCAGTGTTTCAAACTCTGCATCTGATAGGTTGGCTATCCCTTCATCATTTAGTTGTATTTTTTCTGGGGCTTTCATCTGCTCTTTCATTTGGGCCATATTTTTTTTGTCTTGGTGGGCCTGTTACATAATAAGGGTTAGAGCCTTGGGTGTTGAGTAGGGCAGGGCGACCCACATTGCTGGGTTGTGGCGCTGTATGTGGGGGAGGGGTCTAAGAGGGAATAATGCTACTTGTTCAGCCCTCTGCTGGGTTTCAGTCACTTCCCACACTACCCACAAGCAAATTGGGCCCTTCTGGTGTTGATTCCTGTGTACTTCTAGGACCCTGCAGGTTTCTCCAATGACTCTCCAGTGAGGCTGGGAGTTTCTCTTGCCACTTCAGCCCCCACAGGTTTTACAGCTAGAGGTTTTGTGTCTTTATTTCCCCACACTGGAACCCTGGGTTGCTCAGTCTGTCTTGTTCCCCATTTGTTCCTCCCAGTTTATCTGCACATGGATGTGGGACTACTAGTTTTGCCAGCTACCACTGCACCCGGTCCACCAGCCACCACCTTGCTTTGAGTCCTGTCCATCTGGTTGCCCATCTCCACCCCTCCTATCAGTCTGAATGAATGTTTCTTCTATAACTCCTTGGTTGTCAGACTTACTGCAGTCCGATTTTCTGTCAGTTCTGGTTGTTTTTTGTTTTTAAATTTATTTTTGTCCTTCTTTTGGTTGTGTGAGGACGCACAGTGTATCTACCTACACCTCCATCTTGGCCAGAAGTCTCTCTCTTTTTCTTTAGCCCTCCCTTCCCTTCTCTCCAAAAATAAATAAAATCTCTTAAGAAATAATGCCTCTAACATCTAAAAATAGCAAATTATAATATAACGTCTTATGCTTACAATTGTGTTAATCAATGCACTTTCATACATATTTTCCCATTTAAACCTCATAAAATCTTTTTTATGATAAGACAGAGTTTGTTTTTTTTTTAATCTTTTTTTTTAAGATTTTATTTATTTATATTTTAGAGGGGAAGGGAAGGAGAGAGGGAGAGAAACATCAATGTATGGTTGCCTTTCATGCATCCCCTGCTGGGAACTGGCCTGCAGGGAACCGGCCTGCAACCCCAGTATGTGCCCTGACTGGGAATCAAACTGCAATTGTCTGGTTCGCAGGCCCGTGCTCAATCCACTGAGCTACACCAGCCAGGGCCAGAGTTTATATTTTTATCTTTAAACCAATTTATAAATTTACTGCAAGAGAGATTATATGACTGATTCTAGGATACAAAGCCACAGACTATTAGAAATAACTTAAATCTTCTGACTTCTGGTTCTTTACAGTATTTCTTTTATGGAATTATGACAGGCGTTGAGTTTGAGAAAAATAAGAAACTCCTCCTTAAACTTTGAATATTCATCCCAGTACAGTCACATCTACCGGTTCATCTGATAATTCAAGTAGGGATTATAAGAAATGAAAATAAAAACCAGAAGAAGCTAAGGGGGAAAATAATCTATTGAGTGCTTACTGGTATTAGGTTCTGTTCTTTGGGGCTTTCTGTGTGTTACCTCATTATTTCATCACAACTTTTGAGAGGTAGCTGTCATTATCATCTCTTCTCTATAGATAAGGAAATCTAGGTACAAGGTTTCTTGCCTGTGTTCATAATAGCAGAACCAGAATTTGGAGCTAAGAAGTCCAGTTCATGATCTGGGTGCATAACCATCACGGTATAACTGTTATAATAATGTTTGACTCAGTTATGGAGAAGCAGATTTTTTAAAAAGAACTAATCCCCATCCCTATGAAGCATTAAAATGTAAAAAACATAAGAGTATTAGAGCTTCAAGATGACCGAGAATGTGTCTTTTCTTTGATACTCATGCCTTAATATATGTCCACGCGACAAAATCATATGGGCAAAAGCCATGAATTAGTTGATTGTTCAGAAACTATTCAGAAAAGTGTTTATTTATTTTCAGATGTTTTATAGTTGCCCATTTTTTCTTTCAATGAAAGAGAAACTTTGCTGATGAAATAATAATTATTAAATGCTTGATGTGCTGGGCACTTCATTAGGGGCTTTGTATAAATTATCTCATTTGATAAATATTCACAACCACCAATGAGATAGGTACTATTTTCAACCCCTTTTATTAGCTGGGGAAACAGACTTAGGAAGCCTAAATGACTTGCTTATGATTACAGTATACCAAGGATTGAAGCTCTATGCTTTGTCATTCTGCTAAATTAAGAGATAAGCTGCCTCCCTTTAACATACATTACAATGAGTAGAAGAATAAATTTCTCTCCAAGATTGAAGGCCCAAATCCCAAACCATGGGAATCAACTATTGGGACTTTAAAGTTTCAATGAACCAATAAGGACTAATATGGCAGAAAAATTATTAGGTAAATATTGAAAGTCATAGAAAAGCATTACATAGCTACTTGGCTACCAGTACTGTATACTGGATACGTAACTACAGTGTTTTCTATTTAAGACAATTTCAGAATGTTATCAATTTAAATTCAAGTACACCAGGGACGGACCTATCATGGACTTCATAAGGTATTCTTCTAGTTTTCTTTTTATATAACAGGTTATGATTTATTCATACTAATACTATATAGCTAAATTTCAGGATTAATTTTGAAATTTCTCAGACATCCCCAACTAACCTTCAAGGTATGGCTATACCAAATATTCATTAAATAACTGCAAGCCAGGATTTTGTGGCTAATTATATGCTATGTTAAGTGAAACAGAGCCAAAGAGTAGGAAAGCTATTGTATGCTTGAGTGATTATAAATATAATTAAAATCCATTTGTTTCCTTTAAAATCTTATGTAAAATTCATAAATTAAGTTATAATAGTGATATTTTATGGTATCTTTCAACTTAACACCTTAATGCTGTAATAGAAGAATCTTATCAAAACGTGAAATGTTATTAGAAGCTACAGGTATCATAAAATAATGTGTGATTCTCTTCTAGTAGAAACCAAACCACTGAATCTAATATTTCATCTGCTGAAACCAAGAAAGCAAGTATTCTCCTCATTCGCAAGATTTATGTTCTAATGCAAAACCTGGAACCTTTACCTAATGATGTTTGTTTGACCATGAAACTTTTTTACTATGATGAAGGTACTATTTGCAATACATCCTGTTTCAGTTGCTATCTGTATGTTTTATTATTATTGAAACTACTGGTTTTCATCCCAAATGTTTTTAAGGGCATAACTTACTATATATTTTTTGAAATTACAAAGTTTATATTTAATATTAATAGTTGAAAAAGAAAGATTTGAAAAAACGGGTTTTAAAAACATACACAAAACACCTTGGAAGGGTAGTTCAGTTGATTGGAGCATCATCCTGTGCACCAGAAAGTCGTGGATTTGATTCCTGGACAGGGCACATACCTAGGTTGCAGGTTCGGTCCCCAGTTGGGGACAGATACGGGAGTCAACAACCAGTCAATGTTTTTCTCTCTGTCCCTCTCATTCTCCCCACCCTTCCTCTCTCTCTAAAATCAATAAAAACAAATCCTCAGGTTAGGATTAAAAATAATAATATGAAAGTAAAATATACACAAACTTCTCCAGTGATAATAACATGAAGAGGGGGACATAAAAAACACAGAATTATCTTCTGGAGGGTGGGCCCCTTGTAGGTGAGTGTTTTAGGAATCCTTCTGTATCAGTGTGCCAGCTGGTGGTGTGAGAGGCTGTGTTCAGCTTCAGTGAATTTTTTTTAAGACTCTTCCAAAGTGTTTGCCCATTTCATGGTGGGCAAGCGCACCTTCACACACAGCACTAAGTGTTCAGCAGTTTTCAACCAAAAACAACATGACCCCCATGTCCCACCCTTGCTATTCACCCCATCGTGCCCTGAACAATTCTATTATGTTTTCACCAATGAAAAAAGTCCTCAAAGGGAAACATTTTGCTGATGTAGAGGAGGTAAAACAAAAAAATGGCAGAAGCACTAAAAGGCATCAAAATCAACAACTTCAAAAACTGGTTTTGAACAGTGGAAAAAAGACTCAATAGGTGTATTGCATCAAAGGGAGAGTACTTTGAAGGTGATTGAAGTTTAAACATGTAAGAATAAATACACAATTTTTATAAGTAAATTCCAGGGTTTTGGGGGGATCCCCCTTCATATCTATGAGAGGTATAGTCTTACTCATAATTAAAGAAAAAGGGTGAGATACCATTTTTCACTTACCAGGGTATGGGGGGAAGCAGGCATTTTAATACATTCTTGAGAAAGTATGTATAGGTATAACATTTTTAGATGACAGTTTGGCAGTATTAAAATTTTAAATGCATATTGTCTTTAATCCAGAAATAATTCTATAGCTACAAGAGTATCTTTGGAATATACAAGTTTATTGCATACTAGAATATACAAATATTCAAGTTTATATGTGTATAAGGATTTTTATTATAACATTGGTTAAAATAGGAACAAAATGGAAATAACCTTGAGTGTTCTTCATTGGAGAATTAAGTAAATAAATTATGGTGCATCCATATAGTATGATTACGTGCAAGCTATTAAAAAGAATGTGCTGGTAAATTTTTACTCAGCCGTAAAAAAGAAGAAAGTTTTACCCTTTTGACAGTATGGATGGACCTGGAGAACATTATGCTATGTGAAATAAGCCAGTCAGAGAAAGACAAATAGCATATGATTTCTCTCATATCTACTGAATAAACTGAACTAACAAGCCAAATAGAGACAGACTTATAGACAGAAGTTTAGATAGACAGCTAAGGAGGGGTGGAGGGGATTAAGCAAAAAGGGAAAAGAACTCATGGACATGGACAACAGTGTAGTAATCATGGGAGAGGTTATAAGGGGAATAAATGATAATGGGAAAAATACAATAAAAATAGGAAAATATGATCATATAGTATTTGTCTTTCAACACCTGACCTATTTCACTCAGCATAATGCTTTCCAGTTCCATCCATGTTGTTGCAAAGGGTAGTAGCTCCGTCTTTCTCTCTGCTGCATAGAATTCCACTGTGTATATGTACCACAATTTTTTGATCCATTCATTTACTGATGGGCACCTAGGTTGCTTCCAACTCTTACAGGTGGCTAAACAACAAAACAAACAAGCAAGGAGAAAAAAAAAAAAAGACACTGAAATGGAGAACAAGGGGACAGCAACCAGAGGGGAGAGGGAAGGGAAGTTAAGGGGAAAAAGGGGGAAGGATTTGGAGGAACAAATAGGAAGGACACAGGGACGAGAACTAAGGGGGGTGGAAATGGGAGGGAGGAGGGGAGCAAGGGGCAGTGGAGGCTGGGATGGGAGAAATAGACAAAAAAACTGTACTCGAAAAAAAACTAAATAAAATTTAAAAAAAACAAAAGATCGCAAATAGAACTTAAAATAAATTGTTGGATGAAGAAAAAATAGGAAAATAAAAAATAAAAGAAGTATTAAAACATTTAAAAATGTTAAAAAGAACAGTATGATCTTGTTTGTGTTTTTAAGATTATATATGTTTATATATGAATATATATGGAATAGTATAAATTGTACATGCATAATATCTTCTCAATATCAAGCAACAATGTAATAATAACTAATATTTATTGAATACTTACTATGTGCCAGTTCTGTGCATTTTACATACTTTAATTCACTTAATACCCACAATTACCCTAGGAGGTAAGTACTCTTGTTTTCCCCATTTGACAGATCAGGAAATCAAATCAAAGATGATAATTTCCTCAAGGTTACACAGTCAAGTGACGGGAAATAAAGGTTACCTTTAAGAAATAAAATAAGAACTTAGATAAAAGACAGAAAACTGTACTTGAACAACAATTAAAATAAAAACTTTTTTAAATTAAAAAAGATAATAGAAGTCATTTTTACTTTTTATTATATGTTCTTTATTACTATTTGAAATTTCTCCAATTTGCATGTAGTATAATAATAATAATGTTTTCTTTAATTTCATGAACACCACAGTTTATTCTTATTCTTTCACAGTTACACCCCCAGATTACCAGCCTCCTGGTTTTAAGGATGGTGATTGTGAAGGAGTGATATTTGAAGGGGAGCCTACGTATTTAAATGTGGGAGAAGTCCCAACACCTTTTCACACCTTTAAAGTAAAAGTGACCACTGAAAAAGAACGAATGGAAAATATCGATTCAAGTATATTATTTCCAAAACAATTAAAAACACCACTTCAAAAAATTCTCATGGAAAAAGATGAACTAGAAGATGAACAGGAGCATTCTGTATCTGTAAGTACATTTAAAGAAACAAAGCACAGTAGTTAATATTTGTCTCAGTGAGGACTTTCATAAATCTTAATATTTGTATAAATACTGTCTCAGAATCATAAACTCAAGTTTGGAAGAGACCTTAAAGAAAGTATAGTCTTATTTTAAAGGAGAAATGATAAAAATATACAAATTCCTCAAAAGGTATGTTGGTTCTAAGAACCCCTAGATCTTATTGTCATTGGAGGACACTGTATTAGACATGTTCACAAAATAAGCTGCCACTTTTATAGCTCTGGAATTTCCATACAGCTGTTAGCATACAGTCTGAATATGCCCCAACCCAGTTTAAAACTTCAAAAAGTTTGCAAGCTTTTTATCTTTATGCAGACATCATTCTAAGAAATTTAAAAGTGCAATGATTTTGAATGAAGCAGGTACTGGTTCTAGAGGTGCAACCACTCACCATCTCACCTCCCCTCTTAGTGGACTCTGAGGAAACTCTTTGGTCTCTGGAGCAGCTTGGAAACCACTGACCTACTTTAATCCCCTAATTAAATGCTGAAACTATTTTTATAACATCCCTATTTGCTCTACTTGAATTTCTTCAGGGCAGGGAAAGTCACTGTCCTGAAGCACTCTGGAGTTCCTAGAAGAAAAAGTGCCTTGCCCTCCTGTACATAGCACTTAGATTTACAGATGTGCATTCTCATTGGTTGAATGAATGGGTGAATATAAGTACAAAAAAACTTTTGTTGTTGCCTTACGCCCCGAAAATCTTTCATCATTAACATAATTGTTTAATATTATCTTTGTTGTTTTCTCTTATCTAATTTTATTCTAAATTACAACCACAGTACTTTCATATAGAGACCGACTGTGCTGATTTAGGCTTTGTGGCCACATCCTTACAAATAGAAAATTTCATTTTTAACCCATACAAAGAAGAAAATCTTCTTCCTAAAACCTAAACTCCAGTCTTGCTTTATAAACAAATATGTCTGGAATTTATGTAGCCTTCTTTAAAATATTTAAAGCTCTTTGACATGCCACAAAGGGAATAATAATTATAAAGTAGACATAAAGCCTGTTATTTCTACCATGACTAATCCCTGAAAAGTTTGGGAGCATATTAAGAGTGTATGCTAATATCTGTATGGAAATTCCAGAACTGTAGAAGTGTCAGCTTATTGTGTGAACATGTTTAATTCAGTGCCCTCAAACAACAGTAAGATCTAAGGTTTATGATGTATCTAAGGGCCCATGATATATTTTTGAGAAAGTTGTACATTTTTATCGTTTGTCCTTAAAGCAACCCAGCAAAGTAAAGTAGTATTTTATACTTTATCAGGATAAATAAGTTGCCTTGTAATAGTAATTACAAGACCACTTTATTTCTAGCAAGCTTTGGGTAGTTGTAGTTTTATGTTATATTTAACCTTCAATGAAAAGAAATTTGCTCATCGATACATCTACCAAGTTGTTTTAGTTTCTTTTTGAAATGTGTCCATTTTTTTCCTTCATGTAATTATGTAGGATGATTTTGACATTGAAATGAACACAGAAGAGCAGAAAAAAACAACTGGGTCTTCTGAACTTGGAGGTATGAAGTTAATGAAAATGTAGATTAATTTATTTCCAATTCAGTTTTATACCATTTTAACTTTTTTGTTTTTTATAGAACCAAATTTAGCTTATGAGGAAGATAAAATTATGAGATCTAAAGAAAGTCAAGACCTTTCAACTTCTCGTTCTCAGGTATAAATTTGATAGTTCCATCTCACTTTTAACTTTTTTTCAAAAGACTGTTGATTATATATTTATTTAGTTATTACTCAGATTTCTTTATTCTAGGTCTCTTATAAGAAAATTAGATATTAAGAATGCTCATTAATAAAATCTGGATATGTAGAAAATTTTAAGTATATTATTGGCGGATTTAGTAATAAATCTAAATACTATATGTAGAATCTCAATATTTCAGAGCTAGAAAGAACCTTAAGTGATTATTATCCGGTACCCTTTGTATTTACAAATGGAGTATATAATACATTTTTATTGCCTTGGAGCAAAACATTCTTTTTTTTTTCTATTTACAGTAAAATCTAGAAGTAACATTTAGATAAAATGAACTTGAGAATGGTAATGATGAGTGTTCCCCTTTGCACAGCCCCTTCTCCAATGGGAGTGGGCTAAAGTTTTTCTCTTCTAGAAGAGTAGTGCCTGGTGATGATTATTTGGGACTTTCTCAGATAAGCGAATGGTCAGTTGTATACAGTGTCAGTTCACTATTGGTTTCATTACTACAATAAACAAGACCCTAAATTTTATGTGACTGAATTTTTAAACCCCATTATTGTGATAGAAGAAGCTTTTCTTATGTTCTGTGTAATTATTTTCTAGGTTGAGCACTTAGTCAATAAAACATCTAAACTTGATATGTCTGAAAGCAAAACAAGAAGTGGAAAAATCTTTCAGAATAAAGTGGTAAGTGTCTTTAATTTTGTTTTCCGTTCTTTTTTTTTAACTTTTTTATTGATTATGCCATTACATTTGCTCTATTCCCCCCTCCATTCCCCTCCACCCTGCATACCCCTCCCCCACCATTTCCCCCTTTAGTTCATGAACACATGTCTCAAATTCTTTAGATTCTGTATTTCCCCTACTATTCTTACCCTCCCCCCTATCTATTTTCTATCTACTGTCTATGCTACTTATTTTCTATACCTTCTCCCCCCTTCTCCTCCTCCCACTCCCCTGTTGCTAACCCTCCATGAGATCTTCATTTCTATGGTTCTGCTCCTGATCTAGCTGTCCTCTTAGTTTGCTTTTGTTTTAGGTGTGGTTGTTACTAACTGTGAGTTTGCTGTCCTTTCACTGTTCAGTTTTTTTATCTTCTTTTTCTTAGGTAAGTCCCTTTAACATTTCATATAATAAGGGCTTGGTGATGATGAACTCCTTGAATTTGGTCTTATCTGAGAAGCACTTTACCTGTCCTTCCATTCTAAATGAAAACTTTGCTGGGTAGAGCAGTCTTGGTTGTAGGTCTTTGGTTTTCATGACTTGGAATACCTCTTTCCAGCCCCTTCTTGCCTGTAGGGTCCCTTTTGAGAAATCAGCTGACAGTCTGATGGGAACTCCTTTGTAGGTGACTGTCCCCTTAGCTCTTGCTGCTTCTAGGATTCTCTCCTTCATTTTAATCTTGGCTAATGTAATGATGATGTGCCTTGGTGTGTTCCTTCTTGGGTCCAACTTCTTTGGGACTCTCTGAGCTTCCTGGATTTCCTGGAAGTCTATTTCCTTTGCCAGATTGGGGAAATTCTCCTTTATTATTTGTTCAAATAAGTTTTCCACTGGTGGCTGTGCCTTTCCCCCCTTCTGGTACCCCTATAATTCGGATGTTGGAGCGTTTAAAGATGTCCTGGAGGTTCCTAAGCTTCTCCTCATTTTTCTGAATTCTTATTTCTTCATTCTTTTCTGTTTGATCATTTTTTTCTTCCTTCTGGTCCACTCCCTTGATTTGAGTCCCAATTTTCTTTCCATTACTGTTGGTTTCCTTTGTATTACCATTCATTTCAATTAGTTTAGCTTCCATATGTTTCTCTAATTTGTGACTAAAATCAACCAGTTCTGTAAGGATCCTGATAACCAGTGTTTTGAACTGTGCATCTGAAAGACTGGCTATTTCTTCATCGCTTAGATCTATGGGTTCTGGGGCTCTGAGTTGTCCTAGAGCCATTTTTGGTCTATTCGTGCCGTTAAGTAAGCGGAGTGAAGCCTTAGTTGTTTACTAGGACGGGGCGACCCAGGTCGCTGGTTTGTGATGCTGTGTGTGGGGGCGTGGTCAGAGAGGGAGCAATGGCGGTCCTCTCCACTAGCCTAGTCCGTCCAGTCATACCACTGGCCCCGGGCTTGTTTATCCGATCGGAATTGTGCGAGCCTGCTGCCCCGCGCAGGCTTCCCTTCTCACTGGTTTCTCTGTACGCAGATGCGCGACCAACCTACCGCCTCCCTGTGCGCTCCCGTAGCTAGCTCACGATCAGCGCCTTCGACTGCTTGCGCACCACCGCGTACCACCCGGGAATTTTTTCTTGCTAACCGGCTCTGCTGGTGGCTTCGCTTCTCTTACCGGTTTAGCTGAGCATTTAGTTGTCTTTGGACTCAGTATTGTCGATTTTCCTTGTGGCTTGGTTGTGATTGTTGTTAAAAATAGTTGTTCTTAGATTTGGTTGTGCACAGAGGCAAGGTGGTTCCTCCACCTACGTCTTCATCTTGGCGGAAGTCCTCTGTTTTCCGTTCTAACCTCATAATTTCCCCATATATGAGTTTATTTTGCTTATGAACACTTCATTAATTGGACCAATATTTAGTAAGCACCCACTATGTGTTAGGTACTTTACTAGGTACTGGAAAATATAACACCTAGTTATAACATAACATGATTATTTTTTATTTTATGTCATAACTATAAATATAATATAAAATGTAACATAAATAATACATAATTCTTGTTCTTAGTGGTTGGCACTCACAAGCACTGATAAAGTGCTATCATAGCAGTCTGAATAGACTACATAGAGGCACAATGGTTAATTTTATTGAAGGTACTTTAGAGAGGGACATCCAGGAAAGGACTTGAGAAGTGACACCATTATTTAGATTCCCAAGGAAATGCCAAAATGTTCCCATGTTCTATCTTATAAATGGATTATCTTGTTAATAAGACATTAAAAATGAATGTTTCATATATATTGCATAAAATGAATCTCATGTTCTTAAGTAAAAAAGCAGACACTACTTTATTTTAGTTTTTGGTATGAATTGTACTAAATAGAAATCTGTATTTTATTTTAGAGCTTTTAAGTTATTCTAAAAAGTTCAGTAGTGAAGAAAAAGCATTCTGTAAAACATGCAAAATATTATATCCAAAAATAGGAAACAAACAGCATGCTCTTCCAGTGGTATGCGCGAACAGTTCTTCTCAACTTCTCATTGAGTAACGTGATGTTGGTAGCTTTAAATTGGACATGATGAGAGTATTTACAGCATGGGTGTCAGCGAATGCCTCATCTCAGGATTTGTTCCTCCCAGAGAACCAGTTGTTAAACATTTACCAGCACATCACTGATTATAGTGCCATTTTAGGTGTCCTTTCCCCACCCCCACATTCTTAATGGGAAGTTAGAACTGGCAGAAAACAGCTTTCAAACTCGTATGCTAATGAAAGTAAGAAATAAAAGAATTTCAAAAATTAGTATCTCTAGCAGCAAAATGTTCTTCCTAGGAAGCTTCTATTTAGGATGAGTATCTTTTTTTATGATATAGAGAGAAAAACCAGCATTAAAAAGTCATTAGGTAAAATTTTCTTGTTATATAACATTAGGATGCTTTAGGAGCATAAATTCAATTCTCTGCCAAAGTACTCCTGATTTTGAGAATCATGACTGAATTATTAGGAAAGGGCAAGAGATGAAAATATTTAATAGTATATATACTGAGGAATTTATCACTGAAGAATACATTTTAAGTATCAGAAAATTAGTATGTCCTTTTAGAAAATAGTAGTATGATAGCTAATAAGTTGTCATCATTCAATATTCATTTTAAAACTGAATACATGGTATTATTCACAGTAGCCAAAAGGTGGATAAAACCTAAATGTTTATCAACAGACAAGCGGATAAACAAAAATACATATAGTAGAATATTATGCAGCTATAAAAAAGAATGAAGTATCAGTACATGCTACAACTTGGATGAACCTTGAAAGCATAATGCTAAGTGAAAGAAGTCATTCACAAAAGTCTACTATATGATTGAATTCACATGAAAGTCTAGAATAGGAGTTTCTATAGAGACAGAAGGTTGTAGGGCTGGTGGGAGGGTAGGGGAATAGATGATTGATAATTATAAGGGTTTAGGGTTTCTATTTAGAGTGAGGAAAATGTTCTAAAATTGACTACAGTTATGGTTGCATAGCTCTGTGAATATACTTTAAAATCACTGAAGTGTACAATTCAGTGATTTTAAAGTATAAAATTGTACATTTTAAAAAATAGGTGAATTTCATGCTATCTGAATTACATCCTGGTAAAGTTGTTTTTTAAAAAGCTTCTATAGCCCTGGCTGGTATAGCTCAGTGGATTGAGTGTGGGCCTGTGAACCCAACAACCATGGTTTGATTCCAAGTCAGGGCACATGCCTGGGTTGCAGGCCAGTTCCCAGCAGGGGATACACAAGAGGCAACCATACATTGATATTTCTCTCCCTCTCTCCTTCCCTTCCACTCTAAAGATAAGTAAATAAAAATCTTTTAAAATAATTAAATAAACTTCTTATAGTTACTTATGCTTAAAAATCAAGTGTTGGCTGAGAAATAACCAATTAGTAATTGTTCTGTCTTTTTGGAGGTTAACAGAAATCAACGAGTAAAATCTTCTAAAGAAAATCGGAAGAGAAGTCAACTTGAATCTGGGAAAAAAGTAAGTCATGATATGTATAGATCGAATGAATGTCAAGTATCAGAGTATCATTATTATGGATTAAATTTAAGATGATAAATATAATATTCCCGAATATACCAGACAGCTCTGATATCCAGATCTTTTAAAATGCTATATGGTTCTTAAAAATGGGATGATTTTAAAATAAGATTTACTATGTTTATTTATTTTTCCATGTAAATATTTATTTTAATTTTTAAAATATATTTTATTGATTATGCCATTACAGTTGTTCCATTTCCCCCCTTCATTGTCCTCCACCCTGCATACCCCCTTCCCCACCATTCCCCTCCTTTAGTTTATGCCCATGTTTCACAAGTTCTTTACATTCTATATTTCCCATACTATTCTTGCCCTCCCCCCTGTCTATTTTCTATCTACCATCTTTGCTACTTATACTCTGTACCTTTTCCCCCTTCTCCTTCTCCCACTCCCCTGTTGCTAACCCTCCATGTGATCTCCATTTCTATGATTCTGCTCCTGATCTAGCTGTCCACCTAGTTTGCCTTTGTTTTAGGTGTGGTTGTTAATAACTGTGAATTTGCTGTCCTTTCACTGTTCATCTTTTTTATCTTCTTTTTCTTAGGTAAGTCCCTTTAACATTTCATATAATAAGGGCTCAGTAATGATGAACTCCTTGAACTTGACCTTGTCTGAGAAGCACTTTATCTGTCCTTCCATTCTAAATGAAAGCTTTGCTGGATAGAGCAATCTTGGATGCAGGTCCTTGCCCTTCATAACTTGGAAAACTTCTTTCCATCCCCTTCTTGCCCGCAAGGTCTCTTTTGAGAAATCCACGGACAGTCTGATGGGAACTCCTTTGTAGGTGACTGTCCCCTTAACTCTTGCTGCTTCTGGGATTCTCTCCTTCATTTTAATCTTGACTAATGTAATTATGATGTGCCTTAGTGTGTTCCTCCTTGGGTCCAACTTCTTTGGGATTCTCTGAGCTTCCTTGGCTTCCTGGAAGTCTATTACCTTTGCCAGATTGGGGAAGTTCTCCTTTATTATTTGTTCAAATAAGTTTTCTACTTGTTGCTCTTCCTCTTCCCCTTCTGGTACCCCTATAATTCGGATGTTGGAACGTTTAAAGATGTCCTGGAGATTCCTTAGCCTCTCCTCATATTTTTGAATTCTTGTTTCTACATTCTTTTCTGTTTGGTCATTTTTTTCTTCCTTCTGGTCCAATCCCTTGATTTGAGTCCCAGTTTCCTTCCCATCACTGTTGGTTCCCTGTGCATTTCCCTTCATTTCACTTAGTTTAGCCTTCATTTGTTCATCTAATTTGTGACTAAAATCAACCAGTTGATTTTGGGCATCAACCAGGATGCTCTGTGAGGATACACTGATCACCAGTGTATTGAAGTGTGCATCTGATAAGTTGGCTGTATCTTGGTTGCTTAGAAGTATTGGTCCTGGGACTTTGAGCGGTTCTTCTTCTTGAGCCATTATGTTTTAGTCTGTTTGCACCTGTTAGGAATGAGGAGGGGAGCCTTAGGTGTTCACCAGGGTGAGGCCACCCAGGTCGCTGGTTTGTGACGCTGTATGTGGGGGCAGGGTCAGAGAGGGGCAATGGCATTTGCTCTGCTGTCTCTCAGACCTCAATCCCTTCTGCTGCTTCCCACTAGGAAATTGGGCCCTTCTGGTGCTAGTTCCCGGGTGTGTGGGCTTGTGCACACTCCAGGACCCTGTGGGTCTCTCTAACAAACTCTCTGTGAGCCTGGGAGCTTCTCCCGGCACCTCAACCCCCGAAAGTTTTTCCAATTGGTATTTTTAGGCTTTAATTCCCGTTGCTAGGGCCCTGCATTGTGCGGTCTATCTCACTGTCCATTTTTTCACCTGGTTTATCTGCGTGTGAATGTGTGACTGCAGTCAGCCAGCTGCCTTGCACCCGCACTGGGTCTGCCCGTTGCCACCCCACGCCTGGGATCTACCAGCTGGAGCCTACTTACCTGAGTCGGTCCGGCCTTTTCCTGTGCAACCCCTCTCCACCAGCCGCTGACTCTGCCCCCCTTACCGGTCTGGATGAATGGTTTATTGTTGTTGGACTTCTGTACAGTTCAATTTTGTGTCTGTTTTTGTTTCGTTTTTGTTACTAAGTCTTTGTTGTCTTTAAACTTGGTTTTGCAAGGAGGTACAGTGTTTCCATCTACGCCTCCATCTTGGCTGGAAGTCCTCCATGTAAATATTTAATGTCCAGTTCCATGAATGGTTTGATGTAGTTGGAGGAATTTATAAAATAAATAAAAATCATGTCAGGAAAATATGAATAGAATGAAAAAAATGAGAGTACAGGAATATTCAAGGCACTTTATTTATTATAGAACTAAAATTGGGCCACAAATTTGATCTGAACTTTCTAGAGATCAAAACTAAAGGTGCTCCCCACCTGTCTAGCCAGCTGACAGGGTAGTTAGTAGCTGTCGTTCAGGGTTGGTCTGCCTCTGAATCATGTCTTTGGAGGGACTGTAGGAGCCCACAGGTGAGAGCATCAAGTTGTCAGCAATTTCAAATGGTTTGTCCCCAAATTTTCTGGGCTCAGGCATTATTAGAGTCTTCAGAAGCACACATGTTCCCCAGCTGTGCAGTTTTGTGTTCAGGAACTACCAGTGCCTTAGCAGACACTCTATCCTGAAGATATGGCCTTTGGAGCTTCAACATTTCCACATCAATATTTATCTTCTGAGATGGCTCTTCATCTGTATGCCTATTCTTCTTATACCCTGGAGTCTACACAAAATGTTTGCCCAGGGCCTGGCTCCCAATATGATTATAACCATCCCAGTCATTACCAAGGTGTTCAGAGAGTGAATCCATGGCATGAGCACATGTGCTCTCTCCCATAAGACACAAAAGCTCGAGCCTGCAAACCAAGGGATCACAGTTCAATTCCTAGTCAGGGCACATGCCTGGGTTGTAGGCCAATTCCCGCAGGGGATACATGAGAGGCAATCATACATTGATATTTCTCTCCCTCTCTCCTTGTCTTCCCCTCTAAAGATAAATGAATAAAATCTTTTTTTAAAAAGATACAAAAGCTCTATTTAAGAAGAAAAACGTGCAATGAGCAAAATTTGACAGTAAGAAGGCTGATAGAACTATATCATCTGATATAAAATCAATAAAAGGCCACATCATATGCCCATTCATGCTGACATTAATTTGAAATCAGATGGTATCATAGATGAATGGACAGAAAAGCCAGAATTATTGAAAAATGTATATCTGCCTCCAAACTTTAATTTGAATTTGCCAGGTTGGATTTTCCTAAACCGCAGTTTGCAGGGAACAATGAGATATTAGAGATGCCAAAATAGCCCAAGTGTGGGTCTTTATGTGCTGCCTCTACAAACACTTCTCTTGTGAGAGAAGTGGTGAAACCTGCTCCATTGTCAGCAAAGGGTGAAATAGAGGTGAAAAATAATAATCCGACTCTGTAATTAATAATGATGTTACCAATCCCTCTTCATGTACAAGAGAGTTATCCTGGATGCCAGTGGGTTATGTCGTTCATCGGACTTTACCTGCATAACTATCACCAGCCCCTAGAAATGTTACTTCTGTGATAAACTTAGATGATGGTTGTTTTATCAGTAGATCCTAAAAATGGTAGCATATCATCTTCTCAAGTTTTATCTTCACATCCTTCCTATAACAGAGAGAAACGCATTTTCCAGTCAACTAAAAAATTCAAAGCATCACAAGGTGGTGATCCTGAGCAAAATGAAACCTCAAGGAAGAACAAAAAGAATAGTTTAAATTAAAATATAAAGTCCTAGCCCTGGCTGGTGTAGCTCAGTGGATTGAGCACAGGCCTGCGAATGAGATGATCGAGGTTCGATTCCCAGCCAGGGAACATCCCTGGGTTGCAGGTCGGTTCCCTGCAGGCCAGTTCCCAGCAGGGGATGCATGAGAGGCAACCTTACATTGATATTTCTCTCCCTCTCTCCTTCCCTTCCCCTCTAAAGATAAATAAATAAAATCTTTTAACAATTTTAAAAAATAAAATGTAAAGTCCTGATAGTTCAAGACCACCAAGGATTAAAGATACCAAGGAGTTTCCTAGTCTGGCATTTGCATCTGAAAGGAGAGTCAGACAGAGTAGGGTCATTGAAATTTCAATCTAAATAACAGTCATTGAATAATTTTAAAGGTAGTGGAAAGAAGAGCCAGATTCCAGTATGGTTGGATTTGGGAGTAATGCTGACAGCACTGGAAAAGAAGAAGTACTTCCAGAGTGCAAAGTGGTCCTCCACACTAGCAGTGTTTTCAGTTGAGGCAGTTCCTGCACTCTCTAAAAAGGCCATGTCGGTGAAGAAGGGCCACCACTTCAGCCAGGTAAAGACCCCACACAACCCCTTAGACTCCAGTGCCCTCATGATGAAGAAGGGGACACAGAGGGGGTTTCCAGGGCCAAGAACCCAACTTCATTGAAGATTATTTTAAAAGAAGGGAAGGAAAGAAAGCAGCAGTATCTCCAAGAAAGACTGTGAGTCCATTAAGTGATAATGTTCAAGACGTAAAGAATGATGATGATGACCTAGCTCTCAAGCAGACTCCCAGAGTGAGCAGAGGCATCAGTGTCCTTCACTCCTGCTATAGAGAGCAAGTCAGAAGAGCCACTGGGAGCCGAGATCCATAAGGAGACAGTGAACTGCTACCTGGTCCCCAAAGATGCCAGCTACCCCAAGATCCACAAGTGGAGATTCAGGGATTACTGCACCCAGGTGCTCAGTAGAGGTTGACAGCTGTGTTATGGACCTGCTGAAGAGCTGGTTTTCAGCAAATGGATTTGCTGAAAGAGCTGGTTTGTTTCCAAGACTATATGTACCAGAAAGATCCTGTCAAGGCCAAGACCAAACACTGGCTTGTGTTAGGGCTGAGGGAGGCACTCAGCACTTAAGGTTCAGAAAGTTGAAGTGGGAAAAAGTGGTGGCTGGTGGACCTGGGCGTGCAGGCAGCAGCCAGCAGACCCCAGG